CCGTGACGGATCGCGTTGCATTGTGGTTCTGCTGCGTTTAGGTTGTGGGCTTCGAAGGCTACTGTCCTCTGTCTCCTGGGTTTCGCCTGCGTCGAGTGCTGTTGGTGGTGCCCGTGGCAACCGGCGGATGTCGACCCAGAGGGGAGAGGGGTTGTGTTCCTTTTGCGCCCCCGTGCACAGGTGGAGGCTTTCCGTCCGTCCGAGCGTTGTTGGAAGCGTGGTGCATTCGTTTCTCTCTTCACCCGCGGTTCTCGATGGAGAGATGAGGCTGTGCAYTTCGCTGTCGGTACGTTTTGGGCGGGCGGTGGCATCCTGCTGTGGGCCGCAGCTGTCGGTGGCTCCTTCGCGCGCGCTGTTGTTCGGGTAGTGTGGTTAGCTCGCGATCCCTGGGTGTGGTGTGGGCAGGTGCTATTTGCAGCCAATCTCTTGGGCGGGTGCGGCGGGCTGTGTTGGATTGTGCGGTACCTTGCCGTTGGAGATGGCCTACGAAGGGAAGTTCACCTGCAATTCAAACAGTCGGACTTCGCGGCGTCTCAGCAGCTGATTGCACGTTCCACGATTGTTCGACGTTCTTTTGGTAGGCTGTCCGGCGTGACGTGCCTACGTGCACCTCGACCATCGCTCCTTGCGGCTGCTCGTCACACCCGCTACCTGGTTGATCCTGCCAGTAGTCATATGCTTGTCTCAAAGACTAAGCCATGCACATCTAAGTCTGTACACTTTTGCACTGTGAAATAATTAAATCATTTATCATATATTTGGTGGTCTCCTTACCACTCGGTTAACCGTGGTTTTTCTAGAGCTAATACGTGCACCATATCCCGACTTCTGAAAGGGATATATTTATTGGATGAAAGGCCGATCCGCGCTTGCCCGTTGTTGAGGCGAATCATGGTGACTTGTCGAATCGCATGGCCTTTGAGCCGGYGATGTTCCATTCAAATTTCTGCCCTATCAACTTTCGATGGTAGGATARAGGCCTACCATGGTGGTAACGGGTGACGGAGAATAAGGGTTCGATTCCGAAGAGGGAGCCTGAGAGATGGCTACCACATCCAAGGAAGGCAGCAGGCGCGAAATTACCCAATCCTGACATAGGGAGGTAGTGATAATAAATAACAATACTGGGCTCTTTCGAGTCTGGTAATTGGAATGAGAAGAGTCGTAAACTCCTTAAACGAGGATCCATTGGAGGGCAAGTCTGGTGCCAGCAGCCGCGGTAATTCCAGCTCCAATAGCGTATATTTAAGTTGTTGCAGTTAAAAAGCTCGTAGTTAGATTTTGGGTCGGAGGGGTTAGTCCTCTCTTGCGGGCGTGTACCGACCCTTTCGGCTTTCTTGCCGGGTATGCGTTCCTTGCCTTTATTGGCTGGGATCCAGAGCCGGCGCTGTTACTTTGAAAAAATTAGAGTGTTCAAAGCAGGC